ACTCCTCGGAAGGAAGGTTGGGCAATCCTACTTCCGTAGTGATACTGCCTCGGAAACCCAAGGAGGGGTTGCTATGAGTCGGGGCCAACTCGACGGCACATAACAACATAGCAGTTGTGCCCCTTTGCCCCATGTTTGGTTGTCATACCTCAGGGGCAGTCAGATGCTGCCAGTACCTTGTGGGTGGAGGCCAGTGATGCTTGTAAGCATCCTCCACTACACAGGACTGCCCCTACGCCTCCCCCCACCACAGCAAGGAGTTATGTGGCCCAAAATGGCAAAGGTGCTGAGGCTGAGAAACCCTTTCATCGATTAGTTGAAATACTAGTCCCTCTGGTATACTTGGAGTACAGTTTCCTTTACAAAAGTTCAGTGGGTCTACCAGTAAGCCTTTGTTCCCTATAAGCAATCAGAGGACATGAAGGGCAGTGTGTGACCACAGACTCAAGGAGAGCATGCTTTAGTTGGCAAGCCCAGGGTACGTGTGTGTCTGTCGGGAATGATTCGGGAATTCCTCTTGTGTAAAGAGAGACGAAGGGCACATGTACTCCTGGCTGGTGGGCTTTGGGAAGAGGAGTGATAGTTTCCCATCTGACCTGTGAGGTGGTGGGGAAGCCTTCCAGACTGGTGACATCTGAAGGCTCCTTTGTCGCCTCCCACCCACAGGACTGCACCATCTGTATGGAGCGCCTCACGGCCCCCTCAGGCTACAAGGGCCCGCAGCCGACGGTCAAGCCTGACCTGGTGGGAAAGCTGTCCAGATGCGGCCACATCTACCACATCTACTGCCTGGTCGCCATGTACAACAATGGGAACAAGGTTAGTGCCAGCCTCCGGGGTGGCTGCCACTGCCCACGATGGGCCCTGGAAGGGGGAGAATGTGAGGGCCCTGACTGGGTCACTTGAGGACACTGAGAGACATACATGCCAGGGTACCAGGAGTGATGACCTTCACTGTCCCAGGTGGTCTGAGGGGCATGGACTTCTGGCCATGAATGTTCTGAGAGGAGTAGGCCATTCATTGTCTTGACCCATTGCTGGGTGCAGTGGGCCCCATGGGCACATATCCAGTGCCAGCCCCGTGGTGAGCACCAATTCATACCAGTGGAGACATTTTCCAATCACCCTTCCTTCTCTAGGGCTTCCTGGTATTTATTGATTTTCAATTGTGATTCTTTTTCTTCGAATAATTTCAAAATGCCCCTGATTGACCCTCCAGAGGCATCATAGTCTATTGCCAATGCTTTCCCGGGAATCCTGCCCTGGAGTCTGGCTGCTGGCGGAGTGGGCAGGCTGTGTGATGCTTGTCTTGTTCATTAACTGACAGTAGGTCGCCCCAACCCCATTAGAGCCTGGAGTTCTCCTGTCTCAGTTCCCTGGTGCTGCTGTGACAGAAATACCACTGGTAGGTGGCCTTAGAGCAAGAATTTATTTTCTCCCAGTGCTGGAGGCTGAAAGTCCAAATCAGGCTCTCAGCTGTGTCACTTCCACTGTAAGCCACTCTTTTAATTTCTGGTGTCTGTAGGCAGTCCTTGGTAGCGATCTCCACGTGCCCCTGACCTCCCTGGTGTGTATCTTGTCTATTCCGATCTTTTACTAACTCAGAAGTGATTAGGTTTAGGATCCACCCCGCTCTGGTTTGAACTTAACTGACTGAGGGACTGGGTTGCATTAGATTGCATTATGGAAGGTGACTGCCATATTTTCACATATGACATGCTCACAGAAATAATATGTACTCACAAATAGCGCACATAGGAAGCTAACACACAAGGGGGTTGTGCAGTTTGCCAAAAAGTGTGTGATCGGTGCATCATTTGTGTAAAAATATGTATTATTTTACTTTGCAGTAGATTACATTTTAGAAGGTGGTCTGCTGTACTCAACCACAACCGATTGAATCAAATGTAACTACTGTGTGAAGCAACTCGACTGGGGCCAAAGCACTGGGAAGCAAAGCCTAGCCCAGCTGACACATAACATTAGTCGTCAAATCTCCGTAGGTGATCATTCTCTCCTTACAGTGTCTGAGCTTTTCGACACTGTTGACTGCATCCGTGCGCTTTCCCGTGTTTGGAACACCCGTCACATCTCCATTTCCATGAGTTCAGTCAGATCCTACTCGCTTCTCCAGGTTCAGCTTGGAGGCCATGAGTCGGGGATTTCCCTGACATCTCCCCATCGCAAACCCGTCTGAGAACCATCTGGATTTCCAAGACTGCTCTCTTCTCCCCTTACAAAGAGGGAAGGTGGAGCGGCTCTGATCCTGGCTCGTTAGCTGAATGACCTTGGGAAGTTTTATCATCCTCTCTGCCATCTTCTTTTTCACCAGAAAGATGGAGACAAAACAATACCTGCTTCGTAGGGTATTACTGTTATTTTGCAAACCGATTTCTCCTTTGCGTTATGGCTATAAGTGTTCCCTTCGTCTTTAGCCTATTTGATTGATGTTTCCAAAGCGTGGACTGTGGGATCTTTTTCAGCATCTCAGAGAGCCTTGCACATAGTGGTTCTCAATAACCTTTGGACAGTGCAGATCTGGATCCCACGCTCCCCATCCTGACCCTACACTAGAAGGGACCATTGGGACTTTAAGAGGTTGTTTGGGTTTAGGGGCAGGGTTCTTAGCAGGCTATTTGCAGTTTGAAGACTGTGTTCCCGAATAATCTTGTAACTCTGCATTTACTCCCGTGGTGCTTTGGAAGTGTTGTCCTAGACAATACTTTCCCTTGTTCTCGTATGCGCTCATGCTTTGGAGGACGTGTTTTTATTTACACAGAAGAAGAGGGGAAGAGGGTTCAAAGAGAGAAGAGTGATTCACCCAAGATCAAGAGGGGGTTCAGCCCGAGCAGGGGTGCCACCTCCAATGCTGTGTTCCCATTCTTGGATTACAAAGAGTAACCTTCTCTGTTGCCCAGAGTCCTAGCCCTTTATTTAAATGTAGAGCTTGGATTTGAATGTCTCCGCCTGGCTCAGCAGAGGACTCAGGTCTCCCCCTAAAGAGATGTGGACGTCAGTTCGATCCTGGCTCTGCCAGACACTCTCTACACTCGTTGTTCCCTCCCTTCCGCATCTTCCCTCTCCTCAACCCCTTTCTTCCTAGGAGCCTGGGAGGAGGCTCTCCAGGAAAGACCGCCCCGGGCCTTTCTGTGGCAGCACAACTCCTGCCATCACTGCCCCCAGAACCTCCCCACTAACTGCCAGTGGGTGCAGCACAAAGCTTGTGGGATGTGGACAGACCCACAGACCAGCAGCAAGTCAGATACAAAGGGTTGTAATACTGTGTTCTTACCTCCTCTGGTTATTTAGGCAGACCTTGCCTACCTCCTTCTAAGCCAATTTATAGCTACTCTTTAAGGACCTCTTCTTAAAGTTGTCTCATTTACTCTTGGCTGTTCAGTGGGTTCTGGCTCAGAGCGTTCACAGGACAGACTAAAGCTGCCCCATAGGGTGTCCTAGGCTGTAATCTTCACAGGAGCAGATCTCCAAGTCTTTTCTCCCAAGAAGGGGTTGGTGGGTTTGAACTGCCAACCTTTTGGTCAGGAACTGAGTGCTTAACCATTGCATAACAAGGGTCCTTTCTCCAGCTCACAGTACCCAGTTTCTTTTCAGCAGCTCTGGTTTCCAAACTTAGACTGGCCACAGAAGGTCAGGAAAATACAACAGTTATGTCCCATGCTCACCACTCCCCATGGATTCTCTCATGGAATCCTCCCAGCAACCAAGTGGGATAGATCCTATTATTTTCTTTGTTTGACAACCAAGGAAATTGAAGACTCACCTGTTGTTGTCAGGTGTCGTCAAGTCAGTTCTGACTCAGTGACCCTTTGTACCACAGAATGAAACACTGCCCGGTCCCACACTATCCTCAGTCTTTGGGGTGCTTGAGCCCATCGTCACCGGCCATTGTGTCAATGCATCTCGTTGAGGGCCTTCCCCTTTTTCGCTGACCCTCCACTTTACCAAGCATGCTATCCTTCTCCAGGGAATGGTCCCTACTGACAACATGAGCAAAGTGGTGAGACGAAGTCTGGCCGTTCTCACTTCCCACAAGCATTCCAGCTGTGCTTCATCCAGGACAATTCCTTCATTCTTCTAGCAGTCCACGGTGCAGCCAGCATTCTTCACCAGCCCCACAATTCAAATGCATCACTTCTGCAGGCTTCCTTATTCATTGTCCAGCTTTCACATGCGTATGAGGCTACTGCAAATACCATGCCTTGGGGCAGGCGCACACCTTAGTCTTCAAAGTGACATCTTTGCTCTTTAACAGCAGATTTGCCCGGTGCAATATGTCATTTGACTTTTTACTGCTGCTTCCATGGGTGATGATTGTGAATCTAAATAAAATGAAATCCTTGACAACTTCTTTTATCTGTGTATCATGATGTTGCTTATTGGTCCAGTTGTGAGGATTTTTTGTTTTCTTTATGTTGATATGTAATCCATATGGAAGGCTGTAGTCTTTGATCTTCCTCAGTAAGTGCTTCAAGTCCTATTCACTTTCAGCAGGCCAGGTTATGTCCTCTGCATATCGCATGTTGTTAATGAGTCTTCCTCTAGTCCTGATGCCACGATCTTATTCATGTAGTCCAGCTTCTCAGATTATTTGCTCAACATACAGATTCAGTAACTATGTTGAAAGGGTACATACCCAATGCACACCCCTCCTAATTTTAAACCATCCCCTTGGTTTGTTAGAATGACTGCCTCTTGTTCTGTATACAAGTTCCCCATGAGCACAGTTTAGTATTGTGGAATTCCCATTCTTTGCAATGTTAGCTATAATTTGTTATCCACACAGTCTGAAGCTCAGAGAGGTTAATTAATTTGTCCAAGGTAACACAGCAGGTAGGTAGTGGAGCTGGGAATCAAATTCAAGCAGTTTGACATCAGAGTTCATACTTTTACCCGCTAAGATCTGCAGCCTCCCAGTTCTGATTCGGTGGGATTGTTGTGGGTCCCAGGCATCTTTATTTTTAACAAGCTTCCAGGTTGATTCTGGGGAGTCATTGCTTCTGGAGTGCTTACCACCTGTCCCACTCATTTGTTACTTGGTGGTTAAATAATGGTTCTCTGTGTATTCCCCCTGCCCTCTCTCTCTTTATTTTATTTTATTTTATTGTGATTTGGGTGAAAGTTTACAGAGCAAATTCACTTTCCTTACAGCAGCTCACATACACTTTGTCTCATGACATTGACTACAATTTCCCACAGTGTAACAGCTCCCCTCCCACTTCCTCCCCATAGTTCCCTCTTCCCTGTGGCCTTCCCTCCATGCACTCCTGCCCCCTGAGCTGTCTCCCTGTGCATACACAGCCCATCTATTTTCCTATGATTGATCTCTCCAAGGAGTGTGTCTACCTAATGTAAATGTTCAGCTCATATGCCTGCCTTTTGTTTGGCTGGAAGCCACAGGAGTGAGTTCAATTCCATACCTGAAGGGCAGCTAGGGCCATAATCTCAGGGGTTCCACCAGGCTCTATCAGACCAACAAACCTTTTTTTTTTTTTTTATGGTTTTGACCCCTGCCATCTCTTGCATCCCCCTTAGCGTGGTCCAATGGGCTGTGTTTGGAATTTAACTCGTGTTACTTTGAGAAAGCAGAAGGAGGCCAAACAATGTGACAGGAAACTAAGGTCTGGTACCCTTTTGGGTCCATCCTGGGCCTGTGGCCCTTTATTCTGGGAGTCTTTTGGGGTTGGGAGGTCACTCCCCAAAGCTGTTTCCCCATCTCCTTCTGGCCTTGTCTCCTCAGGATGGGAGTTTGCAGTGTCCAACCTGTAAGACCATTTACGGGGTGAAGACAGGCACGCAGCCTCCAGGGAAGATGGAGTACCACCTCATCCCCCACTCACTGCCGGGCCACCCGGACTGTAAAACCATCCGTATCATCTACAGTATCCCCCCCGGCATTCAGGTGAGCCCGCCGCAGCCCTCGGCCTTGGTGGTTTTAATTTGAAACGTTGGCTTGTGACATCAGATCGTCACATACTGTGGAAAGTCTCCTCCCCACTTTTGCCCTCCGTCGTCCCAGTCTGCCCCCCACCTCACCACCATTGCTCTTTCTTTATGTGTCCTTCCAGTTCCCTTGGTGCATCTACAACATAAAGATTGCATCCACTTCTCCCACTTTTACACAAAGGACAACATAGGAGACACATTGTTCCATACTCAGCATTTTTCAGTTAGCAGCATACTCTGCCGATCTCTCCAGTGTCGGTGTAGGGGGCTTCCTCATTCTTCCTTATGTTCTTAAATCCATTCCACACATGCACCGTGTTTTATGGCCAGCGGTCTCCATTGGACACAAACTCCTCTCCAAGGTTTTACCAGTACGCATTCTCACTAACTAGCTGCTGACTCATGGTGACCACCTGTCTGTCAGAGTAGAACTGCCCTGTAGGAGTTTCAAAGGCTGTGATCTTTCGGAAGAAGATTGCCAAGCCTTTCTTCTGAGGTAGCTCAGGGTGGATTTGAACTGCCCAGCTTTCAGTAAGTAGCCAAGTGCTTAACCGTTCACACCACCCAGAGACTCCTTCAATGCCTGCATTTGATGAGCAGATGGATTGTCTCCCATCTTTTGTTACAACAAAAAATGCCATATGAATCACCTTGTATAGATGTGAGTATATCTGTGGAATAGTTTTCTGCAAGCAGAATTCCTTGGTAAATGGTATGTGCATTTGTGCTGTGAAAGATACTCCTTGAGTTTTGTGGACATTTATTTCCTGTGGTAGTTGTTGGAAAAACCATCCCAAGGAACGAATTTGAACAACATTCCTGACAGTCAATGCAAACGTGGCCTCCCCTTCACCATCAGTCATTCCTAACTGTCTGACTTCTAGGGTGCTTACTGGATTCATTTCTTTAATCCATATTCATTGGGTCTCCCTCCCTTCCTTCTTTCCTTCTTCCCTTCTGTCTTTCACTTAGCAAACATGTGAGCGTGGATTATGGTCCAGGCACACTTCAGGTGCTGGAGAGTCAGTGGTGAGCCCCACAGATGAAGCCCTTGCCCCGTGGGGTCCCTATTCTACTGGGAGGAGGAAGAAAAGAAACAAGTAAACCGGGCAATGCCAAGTAGTGATAAATGCTGTGGAGGAAATAAAACAAGGAGGTGTGATGGCCTGTAAAAGAACTGAGTAGAACATGGTTCTTCCTCCAGGGACTTACCAGTCAGCCAAGGAGAACTACATGCACATCCTTAAGGAAGGTCCATGACTGTTGGTAGTTGCTGGCTCATCACCATGCACTCGTGATGACCCATGTATGACAGAACGAGATTTTGCCTGCCCTCACACCATCTTCATGACTCTTGTCCTGTCTGAGCCCGTCTCTTGTGACCCGAAGGGTTTTCATGAGCTAATGTTTGGAATTAGATTGCCAGGCCCTTCTCTGGAGTCTCTCCCAGTCTGGAAGCTCTGTTGAAACCTGCCCACCAAGCATGACCCTGCTGGTAGTTGAAATACAGGTGGCATCGCTTCCAGCCTCCCAGCAACGTGCAAGCCACCACAGTCTGATGGACTCACAGACAGCTGGTGGGATCACAGAGCACAGTCTAATGTGGATATCAATAAAGGGCTTCGGTGTGGGGCCCGGGCATCTGTGTCTCTTCTAAACAAGCTCCCCAGGCAGTTGTGGTGGTTGTGGCTTTGGACATTGCTGCTCCAGAGGCTGTCTTGGTACTTGGAAGTTAAATGGTGACTCCCAGTGTGCCTGTGTGGACACAGTGGAAGGCACAAGGTCTTCAGAGTCTGATGGACATGGAATGCGATTCTAGGTTGATTCCTTATCAATCATTGGCCTTTCTGAGCTTGGTTTCTTCATTTGTATATAGCCAGGGAGCCTAACATGCAGAGGTATTGTATGTGCTTAGTAGGGTATCTGGTCCAGTACCAAGGTGTACAATACCTGGCTGCCATCATTATTTGAATGTCATACTTGTCATTGTACAAAGGAAGGCTTATGTCTGTCTGAGAGGGTCAGAGGAGACTTTGCTGTGTAGAGGACTGCCTAGTTGATCTTTGAAAGGCATGAAGAAATGGAGAGGAGTTGTCATTGAAGGACGCAGCAGAGTTGTAGAGGAAAGTGGGGACATTGAAGGGCAAGAAGAAAGTCTAATGTAGGGCTGTTGTGGTGGTTAGTTACCACTGAGTTAGCCTTGACTTACAGTGACTGGCACCACCTTAGGATTGTGCTGTGTTTGAGTTCATTATCTCGGGCACTGCTGACCCATCTCAGTGAGAGTCTCTCTCACCCTCCACTCTCCCAACCATGGTGTCCTTTTCTAGTGGTTGGTCTTTCCAGATGACTTGCACAAAGTCAAAGAGCCAAAGTTTCACCATCCTTGCCTAAAAGAAGCATTCTGGTTGTAATTCTTCTAAGACTGATTTGTTTATTCTCTTGGCATCCATGGTATATTCCTCAACACCACAGCTCAAATATAGTTGGGGTCTACGACTTGAAAAAGGTGTGGAGAAAAGGATAGGAAGGAGATATAGAAGCTGAGACATGAAGAAAGGTTGCAGCCAGGTGGTGGAGGGCCTTGAACGTTAGGGCAGGGGATGTGGACTTTGCTTGTTAGGCTCTGGGGAGTCTCAAAGGGTTGTTGGGTATGTGATTAGGCTCATGGAGAATGTGGGATTAAGATTATCCTTTAGGAAAGGCCAGTTTGGCACCACAGTACAGGATGATCAGAGGAAAGAAGATCAGTGAGGAGACCACGGCCAAGTCCAGGCTCAAGTAATAGGACCTGAGCAATGGAAGGGCCAGAGGCAAGGGAGCGAGAGGGTTAGTTGGATGTTGGGTCAGGTTAGATATCTGGAGTGAGTCTAGGACAGCCAGTGGGGTCAACAGGAGCTTGAATGAAAATAAGGGAGTCAGGAGGAAGAGACAGTACCATTGGTGGGAAGTGTATCTTTCAACAGTGGTGCAAACTGAAGAGGGTGGGGGTGTGTGTGTTTTCCTGGGTGGCCCAAATAATTAAGTGTTCGACTTCTAACCAAAAGGTTCACAGTTGGAACTCACCCAGAGGTGCCTTGGAAGAAAGGCTTGGGGATAGACTTCAGAAGGTCCCAGCCGCCGACAGTCCTGTGGAGTGCAGTTCCACTCTGAAACACATGGGTCTTCATTAGGGGAAGCAACTCGAGGGCAATTAGTTAGGTTTGGGTTTTAGACCAGACTAGAGGCAGAGATCAGGGCAGCCAGTTCCCAGAGGCTGTGTTTGCAGCCTCCAGGGTTAAGTAGTTGCTCCTCCAGGAAACCCCAAGTTCACATCAAGGGGATGCAACTCTTGGCCTTCGGCACAGCCACTCTGTAAAACCCCCTGAGGGTCTGTGGCAGGATGCTCAGAGCCGCATGCCTCGAGGCCCCAAGGACCAAGGCTCCAAGGACAAGGGCTCTTGTGATGAGTCCAGACCTGTATCCTCTGCCCTCGCTGCTGAGAGTGAGTCCCTGGGGAGAAAGTGTAGCTGAGCCAAGGCTGAGTCGTGACTGCCCTGCTCGGAGAAAGTCACGGGCTCACACAGCCCTGCTGGGGCAGGGCCTAACCCCAATGGAGTTAACCACAAAATCAGCCAGCCCCAGGCTGAGAGGAACAGGAGGGCCCTGGTTGGACTTGGCCTTTCAGGCTGGGCCCCTGGCTTAGAAACAGCTGGGGCCTTGGGAACCTTGTGCGTTTTGTGCCAGTTCCATCTGACGATGAAACTCAGGACTGCTGCCCCTTCCAGCTCCCAGTGACCTTTGCTTCTCTGAGGCCCTTACCATGCCATTCAATCTGCCAAATCATAGGCGATCTTGGACCATATTTCTGAGTTTTGGGGTTGTTTTTTTTTTTTTTTTTTAACAAAAATCATAGAATTTTTCATCATTTTGTGCCCATTGCCCATCCTAAGAGAAAATGAAAAATCTGTGCTCTCTTGCAGTTCTGTCATTCATTCATTCATGTACTCACTCATTCATTTAATCAGCCAGGGTGTGTTTCTCGATCATCCGTGTGAGTGGATGCTGCCAGGAGCTACATACTCTACTGGTTTTATCTCAAGGTGGTTTGTCAGCAGGGTTCTACATCCCTCAGGAGGCCATGTGTTCAGCAGTTGTAGGCAAACATTTGTGTGCGTAAACGTATATGCATTGTTACCGGGGGACATCCTTTGCTTTTCTTGAGCTTCTCAAAGGACTTGTGAAGTCATCCTGGGCCTTCCCTCAGAAGCATGGTTGTGGCTCAGTTCAGCTTCAGTCTCTGTGCCACCCAGTGGCCTGACACTGCTTGCTTCAGACAGGCATTAACTGATGATAGTTGACATGTTTTGGGAAGAGTTTTACCCATGAATATCTCAATCCATATTGCTAAGCAGGAAAATGAGCAAAAACCAATGACAAAAGAGAGTCCACAGGAATTGTTCAGTAAAGTCTATCTGTGTAGCTCACAGCGCAGAGGGAGCTTTTTTATTCCAGGTGGCTTAGAGGTGAACAGTTGGGAGTAAGCTTGGGCTTAAATGTCATGGAAGTCAATTAACCTGCCTGGGCTACCATTTTCTTCTTTGAAAAAAACAGCAAAGCCAAGATAAATGATGGTGATGCTGAAGAACATGTACTGAGCTCCCACTGCACCAGCGCCATGCTCTCTTAGCAGCATAATCACCCCACGAGGCATGTGTTCCACACCATCCCCACTTAACAGGTGGGAAACCAAAGGTCCAAGAGAGGGTCGCAGCTGACACAGTTGCGAGGTGGCAGCTCTGGGCCCAAACCCAGGTCTGGGGACCCTGAAGCACGTATGCTAAGTCACTACACACACTGCTTTTTGGACCTGTTCTTGGTCTAGACTCTCTGGTCATCATGGGCTGAAGTAGCTTCAGCCTGCCTCTCAAGGCGCTCTGGTGCAGTGGTTAAGGCATTTGGCTGCTAATCCAAAGGTCGGTGGTTCAAACACACCACTCGCCCCACTGGAGAAAGATGAGGCAGTCAGCTTCTGTAAAGATTTACAGCCTTGGAAATCCTATGGGGCAGTTCTAGTGTGTCCTATAGGGTCTCTCGAGTTGGAATTGATTTGACTGCAATGGGTTTGGGGTGCACCTCACTCATCAGAAACAGTATGAAAAATGCCCTTTGCTTTTCTTTCTGCTTCCAGGGACCAGAACACCCGAACCCTGGGAAGAGTTTCAGTGCCCGTGGCTTCCCACGACACTGTTACCTTCCAGACAGCGAGAAAGGAAGAAAAGTAAGACGAGGCTCCTGGGTGGGGCTGGGGAATTTGTTTCTCTCTTACGGCCCCGTTTTGCTTCTTACCTACTAAGCGCTGGCCAAAGAGAATAGGGTCTCCTGTAACTCTAGCTGCACATGGTAACAAGGTCAGATGGAGTCAACTGTGGGTGAGGGCAGAATTTTGGGGAGGGGGAGGGGGATTTTAAGGAGGCCAGGTGGCCCAGTGATTAACCACTCAGCTGCTAACCAAAAGGCTGGGGGTTTTAACTCGCCAGTGACTCTGTGGGAGAGAAGACCTAGTGATCTGCTCCCCTAAAGATTATAGCCTAGAAAACTCTGTAGGGCAGTTCTGCTGTGCCCTGTGGAGTTGCTGTGTGTTGCAGTCGACTCAATGGCATACAACAAACGAAACGAGGCACTGTGGCTTTTTCCTCTCCAGGCTAGCACTGTCACTGACTGCTGTCTCAGAGTCCTTTGTCCAGAGCCTGGCTTTCTGGAGCCTCGCTATTACTTCTGAAAAATCACCCCTTGAAAACCCTTTGGAGAGCAGTTGTACTGTGACATGCTCGGGGTTGCCGTGAGTCGGAACCTAACGTATATGGAGTAGTGGGCACCAGGCACCGATTTGAAAATGCTCTTCATGTGATGCCTCATAAAATGCTCACGACCTTTAGAGGCAGGTTGTTCAATCACCATGTTGTAAAGAGGGAAATCTAAAGCTCAGAAAGGTGACATGACTTGTCCAAGGGGACACAGTTAGTTGGTGAGAGACCCAAGGCTCACCCTGTGGGTCTCTGACTCCAAGTCCAGGGCTCTTTCTTTTCCACTGTGCTGCATAGCAATCATGATGCAGGAAGGGATGGGAGCCTTGGGAAGACTAGCATCTGAGGGGGAGCTTGGGTGACATTGCAAGTCCATCTGAGGTCTCCTGCCTTGGCTCTCCTAGGTTCTGAAGCTGCTGCTGGTGGCCTGGGACCGCCGCCTCATCTTTGCCATTGGTACCTCCAGCACCACGGGCGAGTCAGACACAGTCATCTGGAACGAGGTCCACCACAAGACAGAGTTTGGCTCTAATCTCACTGGCCATGGCTACCCAGATGCAAATTACCTGGATAATGTCTTGTCAGAACTGGCTGCCCAGGGCATCTCTGAAGACAGTGCTGCCCAGGAGAAGGACTGAGGCTGGAGGGACGTTGGGGTGGGATGGATCTCTGGGGGCCACAGGGCAGGAAGTGGAGTGAGTCAAGGTAGAAGTTGGTGCCATGCCCTCCGACTCCCTCATCGCCCCCCCTCCTGTCCTGTCTCCATCCCTCCTGTCCCTCCCAGCCACAGAGGGGAGCCAGACTGAATAAGGCGACATCATTCATAAACCTCATCCAACACAAGGGGACGTGGGATGAGGACCATCCGCGATCTGTTCCCATGGAGTTTTCGGTGCTGGGTAGGCAAGAACCCCCCTCACCCCCAAGTCAGGGGCTTGGTCAGCACACTTGGGTTATGGGTGGTGCGTGGGCACTCCGTACCCTGGCCTTGTGAAGCCTGAGGTTCACGGCCTCTGCTGGCTTCTTGCTGCTCCGCTCTGCTTCAAGAGCGGAGTTTCCGCTTCTCTCTCCTCCCCTGGAGGCAGGGAGCTCTTACTGTGCAAGGTTGGGAGGGGGGGCAGAGGGAGGAACCGCCAGACTGCTGTGACATCAGAAATCGGATGCCTCAGAGTATGGCGAGGAAGCACTTCTTGCCAGGAGGGTCTGGGAGGCCAAGGTCTCAAGGAGCACATTTTGCTCTCCTCCTAGTCCTTGGCTTTGCTGGCCCCTCCCCTCCTCCTCACACCTTTGACCTGTCCAAAGAGGAGTCTGGGCCTGTTACTTGGATGGACGGACTCTGGGATTCCTCTTGGGGGCGGCATCCTACGATGCCAATTTCAGCCCCTCTCTGATCAGACCAGAGCCCGCATCCTACTGAGCATCTGAACTGTCCTCAGGGAGAGGAGCCCAGAGCCTTCTTCCAACTCATCCCAGACCAGCTCAAAGATTCCATGAATTTCATCAAGTCACTGTGAATAGAGCCAACACTAGGCTCTGTGCCACCTGTGTACGTGTGTGTGTGTGTGTGTGTGTGTGTGCATGTGCGCACCGTTTGGTGAGGTTGGCGGAGAGTCCTGTGCTCCTGCACTCCTAACATTGCAAGATGTCAAACCCCGGTCTGATGGGGATCAAACAGCCACGCTGTGGTCCCTTGACTTTCCTTACCCTTTGCCAGCCCATCTCAGAGTGGACCTGGATCCTGAAGGAGAAGCACTGTGCTTGGGGAGATGTGAAGGTGAGGGCTGTGCTGACCCCTTATTCTATCTCTTTCAAGACTGGATCAGAGCCCGCCTCCATCAGTCTTGTTTGTATGAGGGCTTCAGTCTGTCTCCATATAAACTGCCATTGGTACCTCCAGCACCACGGGCGAGTCAGACACAGTCACCTGAATTGGAGCCCAGAGGTCATGCCAGCCCCCTCATCTCCCTCATCTGTTGCAGATTAGCCCAGAGTGTGGATGGAGCCTCTTGAGCTCGTTCCTAACAAGGTTGGGACCACATTATGGTCTGGTCCAACCTGCATCTGAGTTCTATCCCAAGGTCCCGTCTGCCCCCTCCCAAGTATTCCTCTTGCCTTTGCCTTGCATTAAGGAATGACTTGGTGGTCAGGGAGGAGAGAAGAGGGATCAAGAAGGGAAACCCAGTTTCCCCTTTGAAAGTGTGTTCATTCAACTGTGTGTTTGGGGGAAGTTCCTCTGGATACTAATTTGAATTTATATACCTCATATTTTGGGGACTTGACGTATATATATGCATATATATTTCATAATATTTGGAAGGTTTTTGATGCTAGAAAAATGGGAACAAAAGAACCTTCAAAAATGGTAATTACGTTAGAAATGGAGGCAAAGTTTCGTGAGGGCCAGCCCCGTAGCTGCTTGCTGTTTGGCCTACTGCCGTTTTGACATTACCAGGGGCCCCAGCTGATGAGTGTCACCCAATTCCTTGAGACATGCTGGTGCTGAGTCTTCATCACTTTCCAAATGGCTATAGGGATGTCATCTGCTCCATCACAGGGAGCCTTGATAGGAGGTGTTCCTGCCATATTGGTTCCACTTCTCCTGTCAGCCAGTGGCCATTTATCTCACCAGCAGACCAGGAGATTGGTCCTGAATTCCCTGCACCATGGGGCCATTTCCTGCCATGGTCGGAAAGGCAACATCTGCATTAGTGAAAGAGACATCCCTGCAGTGTTTAATGTCACATGCCATGCTCTTTACCACCTACCAGGGGAGCCAAGAGATTCCTTGGAAGTCCTTTGAGTCTCATCGTAGGCTTACGGCCATCTCTGCCTTTTGCATCCTTGTAGAGTATCTGCTGGGCTTCTCCCCCACTGGGACAAGGGAACAGACTGAGTGAGGGTCAGTGGGTAGAAAAACACAGCTGAGGCCGTGGAAAGTGGGGAAGGAAATGCTTTGATGGCTAGGAATAGGGGGGAAGGGGCTGGGAGATGTCCCGTATCAGACAGGAGAAGGTGAAGGTGGGAAAGGAGATGGTCAAGAGCAGAAGAGAGAGGGCTCAGGGGATGTATCAGGGAGTCTGTAAACCAGGGGTAATACCACTTCTGAGAACCCATCTTCATACCTTCAAGCCTTTCCCCGTTGGATTTTGATTGTGAAGATGCCCTACTTCCCCTCCTCTCGAAGGATGTTCACTAGGGGCTACCTCATCCTTACACTGCTCTTGTGGACTTTCTGGCCAGAAGCGACATCGAGGTTCCCTTCTACCACTGTGCCAGGACATATGGTGGCATTCCTTTGTCCTTTCTCTCATACCAACCTGAAACAGTATAGTCTTGGGTTTCATGAGGACCCAGCCAGCAGAGACCCTGTGCTCCCACAACTCTGACCCTGGGGACGTTTTTCCCACCAGGCACCCTGCCATGTCCCCCTGGTCCAGGCAGGGAGTTCCATGCCTTTCTGCCCATCGTCTTAGCACCAGCAGCCTAGTTTCCTCCTTCCAGAGTCTCCAGGGATGATGAATAGGAGAGGAGACAAACCTTGTCAGAAGCTCATCCCTTAAAAGGTGAATTGTGTCCATGTGGTTGCGTGTGCCTTGTGTCTTCATTCTTCTCCCCATTTTGTAAAATGTGGACCTCTCTGTGGTTTTATACTTGGTCAAAAGTATCTGTCCTGGTATTGCACTGACATGCGCATGAGAGGGTTGGGGGAACCTCGTGTGGTACAAGAAAGGGTCTCCGCCCCCTTTCCTTGTCTGTGGTCACTGGCATCTGAGTGGGGGGGTTGGGGAGTGGGCAGGTGAATGTCCTAATGTAAATGGTTCTGTTTGTAACCTGTGAGTGTTGAAGTCCTTGCAGTTGCTCTGTGAGAGGACATCGCCACCTGGTGCTCATGAGGTGTATGTGCAGAACAATAAATGGCAAACGAACCACCACAAGTTTGTGTTGTTGATGTTAGCCTTTTGCTTTTGTGGGTCAGTGCATCTGCCTCTGAATCACCGAGGTCACCTGCCTGAGTCTGTAAGCAACCACAAGCTATGACACTGATTGGGGGGAAAGTCCCTTCTCACTCTCCTTTTTTTTCTCTCATGTATTTCCACCCACACATTTGCGCGAAGCACCTGGCTTGACTCTGTTCCGCTAAAGAGCTGACTCTTTAGAAAAGAAACAGACCACATGGCAGGGGAAATACTTAAGAGAACTGTGGGAGAAAGTCTATCTTTAGTGAATGTTTAAAGTCTTTTTGCCTGCCTACAGTATAGTCCCTCTGTTTCACTTGTTTATAGGCTGTTGTTATTTTCAAATAAATGGTTAGCATTAACTATCTCAATAGTAGTAAGAACACCAGAACCCAAGCCCAATCTGGTACCATCTTGTTGATTCTGACTCCTGACGACCTCGTGTGTCACAAAGTAGAACTGCCCTGTAACCGTTTTCTTGGCTGTAATCTTTATGGAAGTGTCTCTCCAGGCCTTTTTTCCTTGGCTACATTGGGTGGGTTCAAACCACCAACCTTTAGGTTAGTGTTACTGTTATTGCTAGGTGCTGTCCAGTTGGCTCCGACTCATAGCGACCCCGTGTACAACAGAACGAAACACTGCGGGGTCCTGTGCCAGCTCCACCGTCCTTGCTATACCCAAGCCCTTCATTGCAGCCGCTGTGTCAATCCATCTCGTTGAGGGCCTTCCCTTTTTTCGTTGACCCTCCACTTTACCAAGCATGACATCCTTCTCCAGAGAATGGTCCCTTCTGACAATATGACCAAAGTGGGTGAGACGAAGTCTGGCCATTCTCGCTTCCAGGGAGCACTGTGGCTTCCTTTAGTGCAGGACAGATTTGTTAGTTCTTTTGGCAGTCCATGGGACCTTCAGGTTAGTAGTCAAGTGCAAATGTTTTGCACCACTCAGGGACTTCTAATGAGAATGCACACAAGATAATGAAAATGCAATACCACCTTTGTCACTCAAAGCTTTCTCTATTTCTGCTAACAGAGTGTGGTTTTCTCGAAAGCCAGGAAGCATGTGCACTGACTGCCCTGAGATTACCAAGTGGGAAGGCAGGTAGACATGGGCAGTTGCCTGACCCTGGAACCAGAAGCCAGGTGCTCCCCCTCGGAGCTGACTCTGTAAAAATGTAAACTGCTGACTCCCACCTTTGACTTCATATGCGTGAGCAGTCAGACAAAATGCCCCTTAGCATGTATTTTAATGCATCTCTGTGTATAATTTTGTTAGTAGAAATATAAATTCAGGGAGAACTTTTCATTTCAATGGCCAATTGGTGGCTTAAAAAGTTGGGGAGACTTTGGCTGTCATTGGTCTTCCTGACTCAGCAATCATGAAAGAATTCTTGGGAAACTTGGAATTTGCAGAAAAATAGTTAGCTTGGCAAACCCACAAAACACCCAGAGGCTTAGAAGAGTATTTTAATGCCTTTCTCAAAAACTCTAGAAGAGGTGAGGTTAAGTAAAGAGGTGGGAGAAATCACAGTGTTTCTGGCTGGGCAGTCAGGATAGCAAGGCTCAGATTTACTTCTCTCTGGATGCCAACTGGACACAAAGGAGCATCCTTGAAGCTGTCTTCCTACAGCTGGTCAAGCTTCTCAGGAGAAGAGGTTATTGTAAGCCCAAACTCTTGACAGTGAACATGAATGAGGAGAGAACAGATTATCTTACACGAAAGGTAATTCAGTAATGACATTTGATCTGGGGGATAAATATAGAACTTTAATTTTTTTGTGAGAAACATCATTAGATTCCCCTTAGTGGTTACAATTAAGTGAGATTGGTATGCAAGCTGGGCTGAACCCGAAACCTTCCTTGCTGGCTGTCAATCATGCACCCTGCTAGATGCCCTTATCCTGGACCCGGAGTGATGTGGCACAGGTGATGCTGATGGCCTCCTCATTTCATTTAAAAGCATGGATTTGGTTATGCCAGCCCTCTTTCTGCTGGAGGAAAAAAGGGAGGGTGCATATTGCTTGCTTTCTGCTCTGTTTTGCATTCGGGGAGAAATAATGCTGACGTGGCGGCTTTCAGTTATTGCCTTTTTCCTTCCCCTCCCCCCAAAAATTCAGACTTGGTGGAAAATGATAAGTATGTGTGTGCACGCATGTGAGGGGAAGGTGTATGTACATGTGGGAAATGTGTGTTGGCATGTGTGGATGCATGTAGGGTTATGTGTGTTAGTGTGTGTATGTGTGTGGAGTGTATGTGTGCGCATGTTCATGTGGTGGGAGGACAGGATGGGTAAGGATCTTCCATGGAAGAGGAAGGGTTATACTTAGGTAGCAAGAAGATGAAGCTGTAACACTCAGTCTACACAAATCTACAGCTCCTCTTAGGTGCAGTGTTTATGACGATTGAAGAGGAAGAAACCAGAGAGGGAAGTGGGGAAGAGTCTTCATTTCCTCTGAACTTCAGAATTTCTTCAGTTTTTACTCTTTCTTCACTTACTCCTTATCTCCAAAGCTCTTAATAGACGTTCACAAGTTAAAATATTTTTTGAAGATTTTCTTACACTGGTCAGAAGTCCAAGAGGGTCTCATCTAAGTAATTGTGGTCTTAATTGTGAAAGAGTTGGAAGACATATCGGCAGCTTCTTTCTTATCAGATGAGAGGCCTCAAAATGGCCCAGAGGAGATGGCACATACCATCAACATGAAACCCTCAAAGCTAAAACAGAGCAGTGGACAGACAGGACTTTCCATGTCTTGGGGGGCTCTGTCAGCCTCCTGGAACATGAAATTAAAAAAAAAAAAAAAAAAAAAAAAAAGAAAAAGAACAGTAGGAGGGTAGAGTTTAAAGACAGCAATTCTTATAGCTCATGAACCAGAAAGCACTGCAGACCTCAGATGAAATGACTAGTTCCCAAATCAAATGTCCACATTCTCCCCCATGTCATTAAAACCTGTATATTCAAGTGAAGGAGATTTACCATGCCCACAGAGCAAAGACACCACCTCCATGTTTTAGCACCCAGGAGAGCATTTGCTGAAAAAGATACAATTGTTCCCCACCTCTCCCTGCCCTCCAACCTTGTCCATGTAACTCCATTAACATCCTGGCCCAGATATTCAAAAGAGGAAGTCACAAAATTATACCTGCTTTTTGCTGCCCTTGCCCCTTCGATCATTGGGAAGATAGAAGAGGGGAGGGATGAGAGCCATGCGGCAGCCCTGGTGGGAGAGATCTAGACTGGAGTTGGCTCCGGCTCTTGGTGAGGGACATCTCTAGTGACTGCAGTGTCTTCAGCCAAACTCTGTCTCTCATCTTCGATAGCCTGGTATCCCCTCTTCTTGTACTTCCTCGTGCCATAGATAGCCAGGGCAATGGCAGCTGCCAGGACAGTGGTGACCGCCACTGTGACCCCAGCTGCTGCTCCCCCCGACAGACCCCTCTCATCCCCGTGGATGACCTTCAGAGCCCTGCGCAGCTCTAGTGGCTCTCCCAGCTTCCACTGGTGGGTCTCATAGTCTTTAATCCAGGAGCTCGCCGTCTCAGTGTTGGTCACCATGACGGTATTGGTGGCAGCCTGACTCATGATGGGTGGCCGGGTGTATGGCGGGAGCCTGGCAGGGGGCAGGGACCCTCCTGTGAAGAGCCCAGACTTGACGCAGTAGGACACTTGGCATCCATCGCTGATGAGAGCTAGGTGTTGGCTGAAGCCCTCAGGACATTTTTTCAGAGAAGGTGTCCCTAAATCTTTGGATAAAGCAGAATCCACCAAGGGGTTCCCGACTGCACAGCTGAAAAACCCACCAAAGGGGACAGAAAACCTGTATCCCAGTTCGTAGTCCTGAGAAGCACATACCTTGAGGCTTTCAAAGAGTCTCAGTGGGAAATAGCCAGCCGGGCACGACTGGGCATTTGTCACAGGGTTTATGCTCTTACCACTGAAGAGACCCCCAAAAAGTAGTCCTGAGAATTCAGGGACTTGGCCATGGGCCACACACCAAAAAGCCCTAAATTCAGCCCTTGCCACCCGGAATACATCTTCACACACCCTCTTGCAGAAGATGAGGAGGGTACACTTGCGCTGGCACTCCAGCTGGTTGTAACCCTCCTCGTGGATCTGGGATAGAAGGCGGATTGGTGAGTAGCCAGAAGGGCAGGAAAAGTCTCCAGTCAGTGGATTCTTCTGCTCCAAGTTTTGGCACAGGAGGATGACTTCATTCCCTGAGAGCTGAGTGCATTGCTGATAAACCCCTCCAAAGGTGAAGTTGGTCATTTTCCCTTCGCAGGATCCATCATCTGTGTTGGCCTGAAAATTGAAGTTGGGTGAATTGAAATCCGTGCATCCAGGGTAGGTGTTGAAAGTATAATAGCGTCTCACAGCCATTTCCACTGTCCTAGACAACTTCTTCACCAAGGGACCTGGCAAACCAGGCAGCATGTCCGGGTTGATGAAGAAATGCAGAGGCAGGCCAGCACGGTCTAGAGCCACCAGGTGGTTGGTGATGCCCTGCTGCCAGGCCTGCAGGGTGATGCCTGGGTAAAAAGAAACCCCTCCAATGCTTTGCACCCTGGAGTTGGTTCGGTTTGAGAGGTAACTTTTGGTGAAGGCATTCTGCGAGGTGTAGTTCTCCTCAAATTTGAAGTTGATGATATTTTGGAAGACAATTCCAGCGGATGAAGTCAAGGCACTGTGGCTGCTCTGGCTGTCTTGCAGGAAGGAGGATCTGATGTGGTCCTCCTGGATGAGAGCGGCTCCGGCATCCACACTGGTGATGACATGGGTGCCATAGTTAAGGACCAGCAGTTCTGCAAGGTAGGTGGCCATCCGAGTCTGGTTGTTCTCTAGACGGTCACAGATGTCCAAGAGCTCCTTTAGAAAGCCCTGACTCAGTTCTAAAGTTGGGTTGATTTTGACTGTGTAGACCAGATTTCGTACCTGAACCCGGGTAGTGATAGCCTGGTCCTTCACCTGAAGGGTTTTCACTCTCTGGAACTCGGAGGAGAACTTGCCGTTGACTATGGAGAAAAGCCCGAGCTCTGTGTTGATGGAGTAGGAGGTGCTGCTCTGGTAATTCACCCAGGATTCCAGAATTTCTGAATTCATCTCCAGGTTGCTCTGCTTCCGAGGAATGGTGAAGATTTCATCAGGAATGATGTACTGTCCATCCTCTGTGGTCCTGCAGTTAGTGTAAGTCAAGCCCATCACCCGTCCCATGTCCACATTCCGCAGATTATCCCAGCCCCCTCCGGGTAAGACTTCCAGAACAGGTAGCTTCAAGGCATTCTTGCAGTTTTGAAATCCAGCTTTATCTGTCTCTCTCAGAGGCTTGTCACCTTTGGCCCATGTAGCCACCACCCAGAAGAAGAGGGCAGCCCTGAAGCTGTTCATGGCTTAGACAATCCAGACCACACACCAGCCCTAAGCAGCAGCCAGAGAGCTTGGTGCAAAGTGATCAATGGGAAAGCAAGCAGCTACTGAAACAGAAAATTCACCAGTTCTCCTAAAGCCACCAGTTCCTCTTTGTAAACTAGTCTAATTATTGCAAAATGAGGAAACGAGAGTCTGTTGGAATATTAAGCTCCATCAGGACTTGGAAAATGAGTGCTACGCTCCATCCACAAACACAGCCTAAACCCTAACTACTCTAATTGCACTTCTCCCTGCCCCTTCCCCCCACATCACTCTGCAGCAATTTTGAGCACGGCCCCGACACCCCTAACTGCTTCCTCCATGAAGCTTTTTGTCTTCTACCAGCTAAACCAACTTTCCTTTCTCACTGGGTCCCATCCTTTTACTGCTTCAGCTTTTTGTTTACTCTCTTGGACTTGAGGCCCAAATATTCCCACTTTCTCTCTTGGAACTCAGTTTCCTTTTACTGGAAATATGGAACTCAAGGGCAACGTCACCCTTGCTGATACATCTCTGTCTCTGGACTTCCTATTCACATGAGACCAAAGGCTGTTCACACATAAGGAGTGAAAATCTTACGCAGGAGTCCTGTGGGGTTTCATTATTGCTGTTGCTGTTTGGTGCCATTGACTTGGTTCCAACCCATAGTGACACACAACAGAACAAAACGCTGCTGGGTCCTGCACCATCCTCACGATTGCTGCTGTCTTCAGTCCCACTGTTGCAGCCACAGTGGCGGTCCATCTCATCGAGGGTCTTCCTCTTTCTCACTAAGCCTCTATTGTACCAAGTGTGATGTCCTTCTCCAGCAACTGGTCCCTCCTGACTATGTGCCCAAAAAACGTGAAATGAAGACTCATTATTGATAACCCCTGACATCTGTGGCTTTAGAGATTGTGTTATCTAGGGCAGGGTCGAGGAGGCCTGTTTTAGTTCTCTAGTGCCTCTCTGACAGAAATACCACAGGTGGGTGGTTTGAACAAACAGGGGTTTATTCTCTTACAGTTTGTTGTTGTTGTTGTTGTGTGCCGTCGAGTCGGCCCCGACTCATAGCGACCCCTCCTTGGGTTTCCGAGGCAGTATCACTACGGAAGTAGGATTGCCCAACCTTCCTTCCGAGGAGTGGCTGGTAACCGCTCTTACAGTTTAGGAGGGTAAAAGTCCAGGTTCAAAGTGCCAGGCTCTAGGCGCTGGGTGAAAGCCCATCAACCTTGGGCTTCAGCTCTGCCTCTTGCTCCCGGCCCACTGAAGCTGGAGGCTTTCTTCACTCAGGCAGCTGCTGGCTGCTGAGGCTGACAAATCCAAGGTCGCCAAATAAAATGGCACAGTCCCAAGATTACCAAACAACATGGCAGGCCACTAGTTCAAGTCCAGAGACAGTCTCAAGATCAGCAGACAACATGGCAGGCTGCTGAATGAAGACCTGGCTACACACAGGGTTTAAGCATGCCAGAAAGCTCCGAGACCTTTCCCAAAACTTTTCTTTATGTGCTGGAAGCAGCCCACATCCCTAAAGTGGCTACTCAGCTGCTCCAGTAGATTCCACCATGGAGATGATTACCAATCTCATCATGGGGGATAGCTACATGCAGCTGCCCAGCCACTCAAAACCAGGCCCAGCCAAGTTGACACACAACTTAACTACCGCAGGGTCTGAAAAGGATTTTGTTTCTTTACCACAGGAAACCTCAGTCTGGGTTGTCCTAATAAGCACACTGTGTCACTGTTCCCTTTCAGAAATGCTCAAGCCACAGAAAAATCCACACTATAATCTAGATTTTGATATATCAAAACCACAGTCGATAAGAATCAAAGGAGACATGTGTGTATGTGTGTACCCACTCATATAACCTGCTTGTTTATGTACGCATGCACACCACATGTGTGTGTATGTGTGTGTGCATGCAGCAGGCAATAACTTGGTGTGTGCTAGTGAACCTTTAATTTTTCATTCCGTTGTTAAATTGTTCTTCATTACTCATTTTTTCAAAGCAACAATTCATTTGCTATAACTTCATTGTTATTGTCAGTTGCTATGGAGTTGGCTCTGACTCAAGACAACCTTATTTAAAACAGAAAAAAATGTTGCCTGGTCTTGTGATCTTCATGATCTTACATATGTCTGAGCCCGTGGTTGCGGCTGGTGTGTCAATCCATGTCATTGAGGATTTCCCTTATTTCACTATCCCTCTACTTTACCAAATACAATGTCCTTTTCTAGTGACTGGTCTTTCCTGATGATGTCCATAGTAAGTGAACTGAAGTCTCACCATCCTTGCTTCTAAGGAGCATTCGGATTGTATCTCTTCTAAGACTGATTTGCTTGTTCCTCTGGCAATCCATGGTGTATTCAATATTCAATATTTGCCAACGCCACAATTCAAATGCATCAGTTCTTCTTTTGTCTACTTTTTCTGTTGTCCAGTTTTCATATGTATATGAAGCTATTGAAATGATCATCGCTTGTTTTAGTCATCACAGTGATATCTTTGTTGTTGTTGTTAGGTGCCGCCCAGTTGGTTTGGACTCATAATTACCCAGTGTTCAGCAGAATGCAACACTGCCCAATCCTCTACCATCCTCACAGTTGTTGCTATGCTGGAGCCCGTTGTTGCAGCCACTGTAACAATCCATCTCGTCAAGGGTCTTCCCGTTTCTCACTAATCCTCTTCCTTACTAAGTGTGATACCCTTCTCCAGCAACTAGTTCCTCCTGATAACATGACCAAAGTATTAGAGATGATGTCTGGCCAGTCTAGCTTCTAAGGAACATTTGGCTGTACTTCTTCCAGGAAAGATTTGCTCATTCTTCTGGCAGTCTATAGTATATTCAATGGTCTTTACCAACACAATTCAAATGCATCAATTCTTCTGCAGTCTTCCTTATTTATTGTCCAGCTTTCACATGTATAGAAAGCTATTGAAAAGACCATGGCACAGGCAAGGTCTATCCTAGTCCTTAAAGTGACATCTTGGCTCTTTAACACTTTAAAGAGGTCTTTTTGCAGCAAATTTGCCTGGTGCAGTGCATCATTTGATTTCTTGACTGCTACTTCCATGAGTGTTGATTATGGAAACAAATAAAATGAAATCTTTGACAGCTTCAATCTTTTCTCCATTTATCATGATGTTGCTTATTGATCTAGTTTTGAGGATTTTTGTTTTCAATATTCAACACATGAGGTTATTAAAAAGACCAGGATTTGCTTTACTTATCAAAATGCTACGTGTAGGAGAACATGATTTCATGAATTTCCTCTTGTATGTGGCTGCTAGGTCTGTTAGACCCCAAAGTTTCAAACCGTGCTTCCAGGTTCATTAACCTAGTACCAGGATTAACTGATGCTCAGCTCAGTTAATTCTTTGCATAAGTAGGGTATGTCTAGTGATAGCCAGGAAATTCAGTGTCCAGTTACACCCTAACCCCTCCCAAAATCATACCTTGAATCAGTTGCAGTGGTGAGACAAAAAACAAAACAAAAAACCAGGAATCACTACACTGCCACCTGGATACATCCTGGAAAGAAGGTTCCCAAAGAACTGAATTGCCCCAGATTGTCAATGATGTATCTAGGAAGTGTTATTAGAAAGAAAAGGCCAGTTGCCTGGCTTCCCAGGCTTAACTTCATTAGATAAAACCTTGATGATGTACTGTAGACTCAGACATAAAAACGTATCCCTTCATGTCACAGTGATCACGCTTCAGGGAAAAGATTTACACCTACCATCCATCCAAAAAGATTAATTTAAGAAGCTGTGTCCAATGTATTAATTCACAGCAGAAGATCTACTTAGAGAACCGAAGTGCTGCACAGGATGTTCTGATTCATTTATCTATCAGTTATTTATAAAATTACAGCTCAGAGAATGAGCCCAGAATTAGAAAAATTAGAGTTGAGTGCCTTGAGTACTGCCAGTTGAGACATTCACAGACTTCTCTTCAAACTGGTTCAGAGCTGATTAGCAGAATCAGAACCCTCTGTTACCTGTACTGTCCTGGACACATATTGACAATTTCTTACCCTTTGTTTTCCTTTCATTAGACCCATTGAACCTTAGTCTTCTTCAAGAACACGAGCAAGATGAATACAGACAGAATGATGTTCCTCTATCTCTAAACATCCAGTCATTGTCTTATTGCTTGCTATAGCCTTCATCTTCATTTTTATCAGAGCAAAACATCACAAATAGTGTAAGAGCTAAAAGCCAACAACAATGAAAGTATATCGTATCCACCACTCATCTGCTAGTTTGTGGTACTATGGTGCTTGCATGTTGCTAGAAGGCCGGAAGCTATGCCACTGTTATTTCAAATCCCAGCAGGGTCAGCCATGGTGGACAGCTTTCAGTGGAGTTTCCAGACCAAGACAGACTGGAAGAAGGACCTGATAATCTGCTTCCACAAATATTGGCTGGTGGAAATTTCATGAATAGCAGAGGGGCATTTTCTGTATGGTGCCCGAAGATGAGCCCCTATGGTACAAAGGCTCTCAGAACACAACTTCCTCCTCTAAAGGGAATTCATCTTAATGACATGAATGGAGAAAAGCTTTCAGGACCTTTATTTCCTGATGTAGCACGACTAAAAATTAGAGGAAACAGCTGCAAACATCTCTTAATAATTGGAACATGGGATGTATGACTCTAAGAAAATTGAAAATTATAAAAAATGAAACCTAACTCTTGAAGATAGATATCCTGGGCTGTAGTGACCTGTAAGGGACTGGTATTGGACATTTTGAATCGATCATACTGTCTACTCTGCTGGAATGACAAATTGGAAGAGGAAAAGCATCACATTCATTACCGAAAAGAACATTTCAAGGTCTATCCTGAACTACAGTGCTGCCAGTGATAAGTTACTATCCATACACCTACAAGGAAGACCAGTTAATATGACTATTATTCAAATTGACACATCAACAACTAATGACAAAGATGAAGAAATTCAGATTTTTACCAACTGCTGCAGTCTGAAATTGATCAAACTTGCTA